TCTGAGGTCAAACGACACGTTGACACCGAAGGATGACGGTGCTGTGTTCTGCCAGGGGTTCAGCTGTGCCCGTGGTATGCGGAAGCGAGATGCCACAGCGTGCTCTGGGGGGATCTCGATGAACAAACACCTCGCAAGGCGCCGGCCGAGCAGAGCGCAGATTGGCGGTGGACGGTCTTGACACCTGGTCACCTTCCAAGAGAAAGGCAAAGGGCACCATCTTCCACCCCGCGGTGCCAAGTCCCAGCTGCAACACCAGGCCTCTGAAGTCGCTGCCCTTCCCCAGGTTCCTCCTGGCTCCACCAAAACGTGCGTTGCCCTCTCCCTGCCCCTCAGACCATCGTCACAGAAAGGACGAGATGCTGGGGAGTAGGGTCACCACAACTGCAACAGGAGACAAAACGTGGTGGCCTGAAAAGGAAGGAGTATCCTGCCAGTTACTGGCATCCCCCCGCGTAAAAAGCTGTCATTTCCTATCTGTGACCTGGCCCAAGAGGTCACCTCCTAAATAAAAGGGGGATGAGGGTGCCGAAAACAGGCCAATTCTAGAAATACTTTTCCCCCGTGTGGTTCGAGACAGGTAGCTTCTGCGTGCCCGTAGTACGTTCTCGTACTACACAATCCTTACAGTTATGTTATGCATAGGTATGTTCTGAATAAAGTATTCACTTAAAAAAATTAGCTTTTTTAAAAAAAAGTTTATTTTCCACAAGGAAGAGCAATAGGAAAAATTAAATTGTTTTCCACATATTGTTTTCTTGAAACAAGAGTCTACAAGGACATGTTCAGCACCAAAACTATAAACAAACAAAAAAAAAAGTACAAACAGCCATAGAATATAATCTATAAAGCAAACATTTAATATTGCACTTTGTTTCTCTAATGTTTGGATTTTACTTACTTTTTCCTAATTCAGATCAGCATTCTATTATCAAATACTTGGCTACAACTGTGAACCTCATGTTTTGTAACGCTGAGAATTGACCAATACTTGTGGAAGAGTAATGCCTCTGAACAGCTAACAACGTAATTTTAAACCAAAAGTCTTTATTTGATAAGGTTATAGAATTGTTCACTCTAATCACAAAGGCTGTGACGCCATGTCAATTACTACGGTACTGGTCAATCCTGTTTAATATGCAATTTTCCATTATATTGTGATAAGTACTTTAATGCTATGTGTATCAGTAATTGTTCCCTAGTCTGTCAAAATAACAAAAAAAGGAAAAAAAAGTAAAACCACCAAATGCCCTTTTATGCCAACGATCCCATCAGCTTTTAAAAGTTGTCTGGAGGGAAGGGACATTCACAAAATTGGCCTAATAAGGTAAGACATCCCCCAACTTCCTTCTCATCCAATATTCTTGCTCAAAGCCCAAGCCTTTTAGCTGAATCACTTAAAACGCGACTCGTGTATTTTATCACCCTGTTGTCATTTTTGAAACATGAATTACCCTTCATGTTCTCATAAAGGCCACTTACGGAAAAGCCTATTTTGTCACATTTATGAAGCCTTAAAAACAAGGCAGAGGTTTTCAAGAATGAGCACCACGCAGAAACACCAGCCTCCCCTCTCATGCTCCTTTCTGAGCTGTTTTATTGCACAAGGAGACAGATACTTGATGGATTACACCTCGATTTAAATCGTCAATACCAGAAGGGCATCCCTTTTGTCAATGGTCTGTTATTAGGTGATTTCCAAAAAAGGAAAAGTCAACTTTTCTTGTAAATCTCTAGCATGTGAAGTGCTGGCATCTGTGTTAGCACATCTAATGGCTCCACTGCACTCTTTTCTTCCTTGGGGCACACTCAAGGGCGAGTGCTCTTCCCACACAATTTCTTGCATTCTGTATGAAGATGCGGTGAATATTCACTATTCTCTTTTAAAGCTCTTGCGAGTACCACAGAAGATGCAATCATCAAAACAATTCTAGCTAACTAGTATCTGAGTATGGCTGGTAACACTGATCTTGCTCAGTTTTAATTATACTTCTATAGTCTTACTATTTTTACAGTATCATAAACCCTGAAGATAGTACAAGTGCACAAACTGAGCTTTTAGCATAGTCCAAGCTTTTCCTGCGGATGGAAATATACTTTCTACTAGGGACTCATTACATACAGAATTTCTGGTGATAAGGTAACTACATACAAAAATAAATTTACTTTCCCTTCCCATCCCTACTACTTGAGATATCTGACTATGAACGCTAGACACTGTATGACTATATCCTTTTAAAATTCTCTTGAGGCTGATTCTCTTGAGGTGTCTGCTGGTGCTGCTTTCATTTTGTGCCTTTTTAATTTTTTTTTTTTTTTTTAAAGCTTCACAACTTCCAACATTTTTTTTGTAACGTGAAAAGAGAAATGGGAATGAGAGTGGATTTTGTGACTTTTGTGTATGTCCCTATTCCAGATCCCCCTCTTGTATAAAGAACAAAAACAAAACACAAAAACAAAACAAAAGAGAAGTAACTCAACAGTGCAACGTAACAAAACAAATAGCATTCCAACAGTTTGGCAAGTGATGAGTTCACCTGAGATTAAGTGATTTTTAGGCAGTCTGTAACAAAATGCTGCTTTGCGGTAATAGTAGAAAGGCAACAAATTCTTAAAAGAAATCAAGAAGGTATACAATCTTGATGAAGTCTATTAGTTTCTTTCTATTAAAACTCTCCATCCCCCACCCCAGTCCCCTATCTGTTGCTTATCTACTACAGTAGGCTGCAAAACATACAGCAAAGAAGGACTGGCTTGAAGGCATTAGATGTTTGTAAATAAATCCACAATAGGATCCAAGCTGAAGAGGTGATACATGATCAGCCTACTAGGACAATTCTGAGCATGTGCATATGCAGGTAAAGTCCAGGCTACATTAAATAAAAAAGAAAATAAAGGAAAAAAGTCAGTGCATTTGTCAAAGTCTGTTGCTGTTTTTTTTTTTTTTTTTTTGCCAAAGCTTTCTTTTGCTCCTTATTGTGCGGACCACAAACAAGTAAGGGGGGAGTAACAACGGTCCTGCATAAATGAGAAAAAGCTGTAGTGACACTGAACCGCACAACGTTAGCAATGAGCATGTGCAAATTTTCAAATCATAAGAGGAAGCCATCCCTCTCTTACAATGTGGTTTGAGTATTCTGACACACAACTGTAGGTTAGTAAGGCTGCTCCTAGTATGTGCCAGTATTTTAAAGGGGGGGAGGAAAAAAAAATTTAGAAAAATCATAAAGTAAAAAAAAGCTCAGGTCTTCCAAGCATGTGGAGCAGTCCTACAACGCAGGCTTCAAAGCATGATCACAGGTTGTTTTCATCTATTCACCATATAGGCAAGAGCAAAACCACCTCCTCTGAAAGTGTGTCTCCACTATGACGCCTTGACCTTCAACATGGCAGGTATGATTCGAAACCCAAGTCAAGTCAGCTTCTATGGATTCCTTCAACGAGATGGGCAAGATGGTCTGTCATCTGTGGGCTGATCTGGGTTTGGATCGATCTAACCGGACCAGGGGAAAAAAACAAAACACACCCAACACATTTTTAGAGGGTCAACTGCTAGAAAGAAACCAACCCAAACAGAACACCACCAAAATTGACAAACTTCAACACAATTAATACTGATTAATGGCATTCTGAATTCAAAGGTTATTCCATTACCTGAGCAAGCACTAGTCAACCAGAAAAAAACTTGGTATCAAAAATTACTACCTACGTAGAGTGGACAATTTTAAACTACAGGTTGATGGCAATTTAGGGATAAGCACAAAAACTAATGGAAAACTTGAGAAAATCTGCTTTAGTAGTACAGAAATCTTCTGCATTTTTTCTACCACATACTAAAAAAAGACATCCTGACTCATCACTGAAAACATAATTTAAAAAATACTGAATTGCTCTCAGAAGATATTTTGCTTTGAAACCCAACAAAGGCATCAATCACTAAAGTCATTCTACTTTTAATGTATGAATACTCAATCCTCAAGCACCCTATGAAATGTCCTAGGGAGGTCACCTGTTCCTCAGCTTACCTCTTCCCTTCTAAGAAAGGAAGAACTGGTAACTTTGTATCAAAAACTGCATGCTAAGAATGGTTTAAGGAGACGGTATACAGCTTAGTCACTCTTTC